TTGCACAAATAGACATGGTTGTATTTGAAATATACTATATATATATATATATATATATATACACACTAATTTATCATATTATTATATATAATAAAGTAATTAATCTAATTATAGTAAATTGAATAATCAACCCAAATTACTAATTTATCATTTTATTTTATTTTATTTTATTTTAAAAAGAATATTAATTATCTTAAATGATTGACTCACGTTGGATCTCACACTTAACTAACTTAGCACAATTAACTTCATTTGACACATTCCAATGTTTATTTGGAAATGCTCTTGAACTTGTGAGTGAAACCTTGAGATTCAGATGCGGAGTCAGGAATTTTGATTGAGGGAGGTTCGATTGTTCAATGTCATACTTTGTTAAATAATAGTGACCATTCAAACTAAAATGGTACTTTGATATGAAGTTGATATGGTCCAAGTCTGATATATGCTCGACTAATTCCACCTTTCAAAAATTTAAAAGAAGTTATAATTTACACATATGTTATCTGAAAAGTTAAAATAACTTGTAATTTCTCAAGATCAACGATTACATCCAATTAAACTACGGTTTGAATTTTTTTTTTCACTTGTAAATATTTTACATTATTTATAGTTCTATTTTTACTATTATATTCGAGTATAAAACATTCAAATAAATTTAATTGATGAAGGTGTAAATAGTTAAGTTCCTTTTAAAATTATGTTATTTTCTAAATGAAAACCAAATATTATTAAGGATTAGAAAGGTACTTGCGCAATGCAGTGAGATACATCTTGATTTTAATATTTCATTTTATTCTTTATTTCAGTCGATGTTATAGTATGTTCTTATGTGATTTTGAAAAAACGATGATGTTTTATTTTTTTAATAAAATATAAACTTGAAGATATCATAAAATTTTGACAAAAGTATATAGATATTAGTATCAAATTAATTACTTAAAATTCCTATTTTTTGTTAAATTTTTACTTTAATTTTTTTATTATAATTTAATTTAGGTTCAATAACGAAGTAATTTATATTTGGGTTAATAATATAATATTCTTATAAAAATAACAATTAATTATTTTGTTATAACTCAATAATTATCCTAATTATATTTTAGATTTTTTATATCTTAAAATGAGATGTTTATCCTCTATTTAATTATGTTTATCCGCAGTTAGTTACACGAATTCAAACATAGAACTTTAATAAGTTGTACTTATGCATAATTTACTTGTAATCTTGAATTTTAAGTAATATGCATCAACATACAGTACTTTATGCATAAAAAGTTGTTTTTAAAAGTTTTTGTCAAATGCTTTATAATATAGTATAGATTGGACTCCGGTGAGAATGAAAGTTAATGTGATAAACGTAAAAAGAGATCTTCACTCTTATATGCACATTAGAATGAGACGCACCATGTTATTCCTCGTATCAATGCGATACTAATTAACTTACTTATTTTACAGATTACTCCTTGTATCAATGCGATACTAATTAACTTACTTATTGTACAGATTACTCCTTGTATCAATGCGATACTAATTAACTTACTTACTGTGATATATATGGGGCTTGGGCCTCTTTCTCTATACTAACTTATAAAACAGATTTATCAAAAGTCTTAAAATCAATTTTTAGTGCACAAAGTCTTAAAAACAACTCATAATGCATTAAGTACTATTACTTTATGCATTCATTCTAAAAATATCTTAATTTACAATTAAAAAACATATAGTACAAGTTACCAATGCACATTATTAATTTTTTTTTTCATGTTCCCAAGATACTTTTGACACATTTCACTCATGTTTTCACCCTCTCATACTTCTACGTCTTCTCCTCATCCCCAAGGTGATATTCAAACCGATATTCATCATGAGTTATTAAAAGTTCTCTCATTCATTTCTCATTCAATTGTTCTAGAACTCTCGGTCTTGCTCTCGATCTCTTGATTCTTTGCTCTTGGTGTAAATCGAACACATTTGTGTAGTCGTTTAAATATGTTGGATTTTAAATATATTGGATTTTAAACGGTCATGCAATTTTTTTCACTGATAGACTGAAATTGGAACCATAACTTTTATGTATTCAAATGTAAAGACCAAATATAACTTATATCATCATTAAATCTTCTCTAAGAAATCAATAAAACTTCAAAATCATTAAAATTCACGACTTCCGCCGTATTATACAAATATACAACTAGTTTAATATTAAAATCCTTTTATATAACAAAGCTTAATGGGGTTGGACATGTAGTGGGGGTGTCTCTCCATTGGCTATGCTTGTGTTGAGAGTCTTCATGATTTTCAACGTCATCAATTCTTTTCCCCTTTTTCGGTTAGAAAGGTGTGAGGAAAAAATTCTATCTTTCTAAATAATTCGTTATGGTGTGTTATGACCTCGATGCTTGATTTCATCGTCACGTTAATTCTATGGCGCAACTTCAAGGCATGACTTCTATTGTAAAACGTTATGATGCTTTACGACGCGTTAATTTGTAAGACATGAGTTTTCTATTTTACCTTTTTAAACATATAACTCGGAGGATAAATGATAATTATGAACGAGACTTAAATAAACATTAAAAAGAAACATAATCTAGAAAGGGTAGTCGAATAGGAATTTATTTGAAGATTGAAGAAAGTAGTAAGTAGACCCAAGAGATTTATCTGGATTTTGCATTCTTGATATATCTTGTTCTTGTAAGCTTAATATATTTATACAAATGGTTCTTCTTTTCTATCTGATTTTATAACTTTATATCATGTATACATACATATGGCTGGATTACGGTGAGAAAGAGAATTAAGGTGAGAAGCGTAAGAAGTGTAAGAACTGATATCCCCTCTTAGATGCACATTAGGATGAGATGCACCAGATCAATCCTCGTATCAAGCGCTATTCATGGGTAGGCTTGAGATTAAAGGTAATTAAGGGGCCAAATCATTTCTTACGCTTCTCAATTTAACTCTTCTTCTCACACGATCCTTTGTCTACATACATATATGTATACATATGATCGCCTTAAGGCATACATTGAAAAACGCAATGGTCTCGCAGTAACTTTTTAAGGCTTAAGGTTTGCTCTCACTATCACATCACATCTAACATCATTTAGAACCTTGGAAAAAGTGAATATAAGCAATTTAGTATATATTTTTCTGAATTAAAGTTATATTTTATAATTATTAGTTACATTTTTAATATAAGTTTAACTTATCTATACTATATTATAAAGTATTCGACAAAAACTCTTAAAAACTATTTTTTATGCATGGAATATTGTTTATGATGCATATTACTTAGAATTCAAGATTACAAGTAAATTGTGGGTAAGTACAACTTATTAAAGTTTCATGTTTGAATTCGTGTAACTAACTGCATATAAATATGATCAAATAGAGGATAAATATCTCATTTTAAATATAAAAAATCTAAAATATAATTAAGATATAGTTATAACAGAATGTTTAATTATTATCTTTATAAAAAATTATATTATTAAACCAAAACTAAATTACTTTGTTATTAAATCTAACTTAAGTTATAATAAGAAATTAAATTAAAGAAGTTACGCAAAAAAATGAGAACTATTAAATAGTTAATTTGATACTAATATCGGTTTATTTTTTTTCAAATTTGTAAGCTATATTCAAATTTACATTTCATTCAAAAATAAGAACATTATTGTTTTCTCAAAATCACATAAAATCGTATTATATCGATAAAAACAAAGAATAAAAACTAAACATTAAGATTAAAATTTATCTCGCTGTATCGCACGAATACCCCTTCTAGTATATTCAAAAGTAATTGAAAAACAATTTAAACATAATCCTAGTAAAGAGAGAGAGAGAGAGAGACAAACATGAACTTTTTATTTACTGATTTAAAAATTATACTTATTAATAAATAAAAAACTTATATAAGAACTTAAAAAAAACAAAATTGATAAATACATTTTATAATTGTTAATTTATATTATTAATAAATTTCAAACTTTTTTCTATATTTTTTAAAGATTTATTAAAAAATATAATAAATTGGTAAGAATACAATACAAAAATCAAAACAGAAACCTGTTTTTCGAACATTCGAGTTCTTACAAGAACTTATGATTTGAGAAAAATTCTAGTGGCGATTTACATCCTTATACTTTCAAACGTTACGATTTTTATCCCTCTTGTTTGGAATTATTTATTTTTTGGTCATAAAAATAACTCTATTAGTGATTTTCTATTAAATAGGAGGTTAAAAACGTGAATGAGTTATAAAATCTCTAAGAAGTTGTTTGACAGTTGTTGAATGGTTTAGTACAGGATGATTAAGTGGTCAGAATTATTAAGAGGCTATCATGATATAATGTAAAATGAAATATATTTATTTGGTGATTATTTACAACGAAATTAGGACGTTGAATGATCAAGAGAGACACATGATACAAAATCATTCAGAGAGTTTTAGAATCATTAAGAGACAAATTTTTTTTTTTTTTGTCAAATAAGACTCAACTTTTAACAATTCAGATACTATATCTTAATGGAACTATTAAGAGGAAAACAAACAATCCCTAAATATCTATATGAATAATTTTGTTGTATAGAAATATTAAAAAATTAGGGTTGGGTTGAGAATTGATGTTGAAAGTTATATATACTGATAAAAGTGGAATTAACGACTCGTTCTCGATTTCACGATTGCGTGCTCCTTCATAAATATACGTGATGACTCCTTGACGTGGCAGATAAATCCTTAATTTACTACCTTTCAGGACTGATCACGTGTAACGACGTACCACCGATTACCCTGTTACCTACTCATCTCTTCACTTGTCATGTTTTATCAACGTCTCTCCTTTCACCTCCTATCGTGGACCATCACGTAGCCTAACTGGGATCAGCATATGCATGTGTATATAAAGGTCGACCAACATCTCACGATTTTGCAAACAAGTTCAGCATTTCTTCCTAAACTCTCAGGTAAATTTACAAATCTCGAGTTTTATACATGAATTTTTCAGCTCAAGTTGCTGTTCTTGTTTGGATCAGATTCAGATCTGTAAATGTTAGGTGTGAGGGATGCTCCACCAGTTCGTTACAGCCTAGCTTTCATTTGATCTGTCTTTTGCGTAATTTTGAAGATTAATCATCTAGTCGGTAGCAAAATTTTAGTAACGTGCATCCGATTTCTTTGATCGGCTATTTAAATGGAAGTTATAGCATTTTTAATTTGAGCCCAAGGTTAGGGTTTTAGTGCAGATTGAATATCAATTAGGTAATTTGAATTGGAGATTGGATCTTCTGAGATTGTTTTTAAGTTTGCACTATTTTCTGTTGAATTTTGTAGTTGTGTGTCTGTTATAATTTGGAAGGTTTCTGTTTTATGTTAGATACTGTGAAGTGTGATCCGAAGAAGATGGCTACACAGGGTACTACTGGAGCAAACAATGCTACTACCAGACCGCCGCCGAATCCTTCTCCTTTACGTACTGCGAAGTTTTTCCAGGTATAGTGTTGATGTTGCGTGAACGATCTTGATATTGCCGCATCTTTTGCTGTTGATTTTAAGTTAAATGGGGATGTGTGTAGGAAAGAAAGAGAAAGTATGAACAGTTACTCTCCTCTTGTCCCTTCCCCTACTTGAGGGTGGTCAATGATCACTTTGTCTATCAAGGCTGGAGAAACTTAGCTGTTTTTTGTAATATATATATATATGTTTCTCAGTTGAAATGAATCTTGATAGGCCAACATGAGGATATTGGTTACTGGAGGAGCTGGTTTCATTGGCTCTCACCTAGTGGATAGATTGATGGAAAATGAAAAGAACGAGGTATGCAGTTGCTTAAAAGTATTTTTATGAAATTCAATACTAGAAAGATGCATTTGACTGAGGTCAAGAGGATCTGCATTATTTCTTTGATTAAAGCATCTTGCTATTTTTCTTAGGTGGTGGTTGTAGATAATTACTTCACAGGATCAAAGGACAATCTAAAACAATGGATTGGTCATCCCAGATTTGAGCTTATTCGTCATGGTATGTGGTCCTAGTACATTAGTTCATTATATTGCTGCAACAAGAGTCGTGTTGAGTTATCATTTTGTTGAATGCCATTAGGTTTCTATGTCACCATAATTCAACATTGCTCAGTTTAATTTGGTCATATACATCAAGACCATCTAGTTGTGACTGCTTTGCTTGTTGATTCTGCAGTTTCACCAAGCAGGGCATTGGCTTTGATGATCTGTCCAGTCTATCTAATTTTATAAGACAAGAGAAGATGATAAATAGATCGATTTCATTTATAATCAGCAATCAGTATTCTTGTGAGGAATGGTCTTGCTATTTTATAAAACAATAGAAGATGATAAATAGATCAATTTCATATATTTAATCAGTAATCAGTCTTCTTGGTGAGGAATGGGCTTGCTAAGCCAAGTGATGCTTAGTTCTTATAATTGATGACGTAAAAGTTTTTCTATTTCATAAAGCTTGAGCTTGGAGAGGATCGGAACAAAAGAAACTTGTCTCCTGAACTATGTATCTTTGTCTCAAATCTCCATCATTGGAAATCACTAGGATTTTATAATATCTTCTCATAATTGGCCAACTCTGCAATTATATTGACCATAGACCTAAGTACAATATATTTAATTAGTGATGTGATCCATGAGATATCACTCACTTGCAGAGGCTTCAAGGTAAAATATGTACCTTGACAACTTCCTAAAGTTGGATGGTGTGAAAGCAAACGTTAAGCTTGTTTATAATAATATATGATTATTGGGAGACCGAAAAATTTCCATTCAAGTAGAATGTCCTAAAGGCTACATAATTGGATGATCATGGCCTTTAGAACCAGCCAAGATTTTTTGGACGCATTATGTAGCACCCTAGGTGATTTTTTGGGAATTTTATTGCATCTCTTATTTCAGTGCAACATAACCTATTCCCATGGCATTAAACCCTTAGATGCAATCATTATAGTACTAGTTTGTAACCGAAACCCTAACCCCAAAAAATATCTATTTTGCCAGCATGCTTTATAGTGTTGAAATAGTGACATGGTTACTGATTTTAACGCACCATTGAAGTAATCAGGCTTTGCCTTCCAATCACCAATGCCAGGGAACACATTTTCCTCTTTGTCTTTACTTTCTTCTCTTCTTTGGGATGCAGATGTCACAGAGCCATTGTTGATTGAGGTCGATCAAATATATCATCTTGCTTGTCCTGCTTCCCCTATTTTCTACAAACATAATCCAGTGAAGGTATCTTACCTTTAATCAAATTACCATCATGTTAGTTGAGAAAAACGATTTTTCCTCCTCTTTTTTTGTTTTTCATTCTTGTTTTATCTCTGTTCTTTTATTATCCCTTATTTGTAATGTATGGATCTCAAACAGACAATCAAGACAAATGTGATTGGAACTTTGAACATGTTGGGACTTGCCAAGCGAGTTGGAGCAAGGTGTGAAACTTTCTTCTTGATTTATGGTGTTTGGATATTATAAACATAATTAACTAACTGTAGTTCTTTTACCTACAGAATTTTGCTGACTTCAACTTCGGAGGTTTATGGAGATCCTCTTGTGCATCCTCAAGATGAGAGCTATTGGGGAAATGTTAACCCCATTGGTAAATTTACAGCACTCAAACTTCTCAGCCTTCAGCCCTTCACTTGACCACTTGTTCTTCTTCATTTTTCTTCATGAAAATGCAAATAATCTTTATTGTTGAACCATTTCTGACTGAACCCTTTTCCCCAGCAACGATCTCATCTTTTACCTGCAAGTAAAACAGCATACATCTTAACTAATATTGTTTTTGTTTACAGATTTTTACTGCCCATTAACTCTTTCACAATCAAAAGACAAAAACCAATTATGATTCGTGTCCATATATATAACTGTTTTGTAAATGAGTAACTATGAGGTATAGAATTGGGAAGATGATGACATGGATGTTGTCTTGTATGTATGTATTGCAGGAGTTAGGAGCTGTTATGATGAGGGAAAACGAGTAGCTGAGACTTTGATGTTTGACTATCATAGGCAGCATGGAATAGGTGAATACTTGTCTACTTGTTTGTTACATTATGTAAATAAAACATTAGCTTATTTGGTTTTTGTGCAACAGAAATACGGATTGCTAGAATCTTCAATACATATGGACCTAGGATGAACATTGATGATGGTCGTGTTGTCAGCAATTTCATAGCTCAAGCAATCCGGTACACTACTTGTTTCTGTACCAATTTTAGCATGTTCCTTTTTTTTTCATTACAAAATTTTATCAAGACTAGTTTTTGTTTACAATTAATTACTTGTTGTATAGCAATGAACCATTGACCGTTCAATCACCTGGGACTCAGACTCGGAGCTTCTGCTACGTCTCTGACATGGTAATCTACAACTTTTATATATATATATATATATATATATATATATATATATAATTTAATGTAGCACCTTCAGTTTATTTAGTAGTGTTGTTTCCTTGTTTATTATGATCAGGTTGATGGGCTTGTTCGGCTTATGGAAGGAAACAATACAGGCCCAATCAACATTGGAAATCCAGGTTCGTATTATTAATATGTATATGTATGAATGTATGTATGTATGAATCAGTAAATCTCTCATGAGACAGCAATGATAAGTTTTTTTTTCTCATTTTTGAACTCAGGTGAATTCACGATGCTTGAACTTGCAGAGAATGTGAAAGAGGTCAGTTCTGAGGTTGTGTTTTTCTTATTTCTCTTGTGGGTTAAGTCATAAATGAATAGAAATGGGAAATTGACATATACTGTGTTTGTGTGAGTTATAGTTGATAAACCCAGAAGTGAAAATCATACATGTGGAGAACACACCTGATGATCCAAGGCAAAGAAAGCCAGTGATCACCAAAGCAAAGGAGTTGCTAGGTTGGGAGCCAACAGTGAAGCTGGTTGATGGGCTTCCGCGTATGGAGGAAGATTTTCGCAAGAGGCTTGGAATCCCTAAAAATGCATAAGAACTTCATACTATTGTTTTTGGCTGCAATTTCATCCTTCATCCTCTCTCTGTGTGTGTCTGTTTTGTAGTTTCTACGTTCACATATATATATATATACTCTCTGAGTAACGAATGATGTGTTGGTGGTGAATGATGGTATGTCTTAGAATGGATACATGGACAATTCGCTACTTGATTTTGTTATCTATACAACTTATAAACCAGATTTGATAAATGTCTTAAAGACAATCTTAAATGCATAAGGTACTACTTATTTATGCATAAAGTCTTATTTATACTAACTTATAAACCAGGCTTGATAAATGTCCTAAAAACAACCTTAAACGCATAAGGTACTACTTATTTATGCATAAAGTTTTATCTATATTTATACTACCTAATAAACCAGATTTGACATATGTTTTAAAAACAACCTTGAATGCATAAGGTACCATTTATTTATACATAAAGTCTTAAAAATCTTAAAAGTACTATTTGTTGATGCTTTATGTACAACTTAATAATGCTTCATAATCCATTGATAATACATCAGCCATGTGCTTTAGTCGCTTCATCCTCCCAATGTGCTTTAGTCGCTTTCCAAGATGTCGATTGAAGCTTCTGTTTTTTTGATTTCACTCCCAAATCGAAGCTTATGTTCATATTTAAAACCTAATGAAAATCGACGCCTGGTTTTAAAGAGAGCTAAAAATTGAATCTGGACAAAAGAAAAGATTAACATAAAGCGGAATGTGGTTTCAGATGAGATATTGGAGTTGTTCTCTAATTTTCTAAGAACCATAAGGTTTTGGTTTTATCTTCTTGTGAGGGTTTCAGCATCGATGGACTTGCTACCATTGCCGCCAATTTGTTCATTTGGAATATGGGTTCTTCTACTTCATTTTTATTTACTTATTTTATTGATATCTTTTTGTACCTAACTCCAGATTCTTAACACAGTTCCAAATTACGAGAACTCAACCAAAAGAATAAGAAAGCTTTAATTCTTGGATGATCCAGAAGCCTACTGCATAGGTTTCACCATACATGAACCCACAAATGACTGGTAGCTAATATAACTTGCAGAAAAGCTGTTTATATGGCATTGGCGTGGGTACCGGTGAAGCTGAGTTTCTTGCTCAAAGAATGAATTGTAAGATCTCCTCTATTCCGTTTCAATATTTGGGTCTTCCAGTAGATGCGCAGATGGGCAGAAGTAGTAGTTGGAATAAGTTAGTGGATAAGTTCCAAGAGAAACTCTCCGCCTGGAAGGCCAAGTCCTTATCGTTTGGTGGTAGAAAGATTCTTTGTAAATCGGTTCTTGGTAGTTTGGGAGTTTATCTTTTTTCTCTGTTTAAAGTCCCGGAAAAAGTGATTAGCACCCTTGAAAGCCTTCGGAATCATTTCATTTGGGGTCGGTCTGGGCAGAGTAGAAAAATTATCTGGGTTAGGTGGAAAGTTGCTTGCAACACTTTGGACAAAGGTGGTATTGGTATTGGTAGTTTGAAGGCGCTCAATTGGAGTCTTCTTGCTAAGTGGTGGTCGAGGTTTTTAATTGAAGAGGGTAGTCTTTGGAGAGATTGTATAAAGGCGTTTCATGGTGCTAGTGGGGGTATTTTTAGTGACGGTTGTAAGAAACCGGGTGTATGGGGAACTATCGCTAAATGGGATTCTCTCATCCGGAAAGTTGGGTTGAATGTTAATAATTTCTGGGCGATTGACAGCAATGGCTCTCGCCGCTGGGCTCTATCCGAGGATGGGATTTTCTCGGTTAAGACGTGTCGGGGAAAGATTGACGAAGGGGTTTTACAATCTGACGGAAGTGTTTCGAAGTGGAACAAATTAGTTCCTGGTAAAGTGAATATGCTTATCTGGCGTTTTTCAAAGTCTAGACTCCCCACTAGACATAATCTTTTCCTTAGAGGTGTCCAAGTGAGCTCAGTTCTCTGTCCTTGTTGCCTAATTCATACAGAAACGGAAAATCATATCTTGTTTGGTTGTTCGACTACAAAGGTGATCGGTGCGTATGTAAAGAATTGGTGGTCGGGTTTTCCTTGCCAAGCTACCAATTTGGCGGAATTTTTTTCTGCAGCACAATTTCCTTTCAAAGGGAAGAAGGTTAAGGAGGGCTTGGAAGTWATTCTCATGGCGTTTATTTGGATGATTTGGACGAATCGGAATGCGTTGGTCTTCAACAAATCCGGTAAAAACCCGCTGGTAATTTACAAGGATATTGTGCTTTTTTCTTTTAATTGGATTAGAATCAGATCGAAGTCTTGTAATTCTCTTGATTGGAATGTTTGGTGTACCAGCCCTTTAACGGCTCTTTTATAAGTGCTAGCATCTTGCTAGCCTCGGCGGTTTCTTAATAAAATTGTTGTTTCTAAAAAAAATATTATGATGCAACCCATGGATCAAAAACAAGCTCATTACAGCAAACCCAATGTAAATCTCAAAACAACATCGTTAAGTACACTGTGAATGTCAAAACAACAAATCATTGGCAAAAAAAATACCTCATGATATAGGAGATGTAAGGGCTTTTAGTAGAATAACACACCTGGTGGATTTCAATATCAAATACTGAGCAAAACCCTAAAAGAGCGATTATAGACAGAAAGGTTCTCAATCACAACGCACATATTTCATTGCGAGGAAGCATACTAATTTTATCAGGAGAGGGAGATCGTGAAGAGCAAAGAAATTGGGAGCGGGGCATTTCGAATTTAGTGGTGAAACTGGGTCTACAAGCGTTGAGGATGAAAAGCATTTGAGAGTGATTTTGAGGATTGTAGAATAATGGGAAGCCAGTTCTTTCCATTTGAAATTCAAAACTGAGAGTTGAAAATGGTTGAGCGGGAATAGCAATTGTTTCAAACAATCTGGGAGCTTCCAATCCATCATAAATCTGAAGAAATTCTCTATTCTGGTTGCTGCAATTAACGTGTTCGACGAAATGCCAAAGTGGTAATGATACATCTCAATTTGCCCCACTGTTTAACTGCTCAGCTTGAATGGGGAAGAAAAATAAAAGATTACTACGATTTCAAAACCCTAAAATATTACACCAAATTCTTATTTCAAATGGTTTCTCTCTGAACCCTATTTCGACAGAAACATTTCAAGAAAGATTGATCAAATCTATCTTCAGGTTCTAATTCTACAAAAATCGTACATAGAATTAACTTATGATTCGAATCCAAACTCTTCAAACACAAATAAAAGAACACAAATCCTGGTGTGGATTTTAAAAGTAAGAATGTGTAAGCATTTAGCCTTGATTCCATTAAAATCAGATAGATTCATCAATTACAGATCACCAGCCAGAACTTTTCAGCACTAAATTGTTCTAAAATAACCTGATTCATCACAATCGCTTAAGCATAATATTCACTACACACCTCATAGATCTACTAACCACCAAATCCATATAAAGTTCTTCCCTGCCTCTTCAAAGCATAGACAACGTCCATGGCCGTCACAGTCTTCCTACGAGCGTGCTCAGTGTATGTAACAGCATCACGAATAACATTCTCCAAAAAGATCTTGAGAACRCCRCGCGTCTCTTCGTAGATWAGACCGCTGATCCTCTTCACTCCACCTCTCCTTGCTAGCCTTCTAATAGCAGGCTTGGTGATTCCCTGGATGTTATCCCTKARAACTTTYCKGTGACGCTTTGCTCCTCCCTTTCCCAACCCCTTTCCACCTTTTCCACGACCAGACATTGTGAGGATATGGAGAAAACTTCTTGTATCAGAGAATTCTTGTGAGAGAGGTTGATGAGATTAGAATCATGGAGTAGGGTTTATAAAGGGGGGTGATTTCATGGAACTGGGAATTTTGAATTTTGAGCGGTCAATCAAAAAAATCGACGGTGGATGTTCAAGATCCGCGTGATGAGACTTTAACGGATCTGAGACGTTGATAGACCTATGATCGATGGGCAGGAATAGTTCGGGAAAAGTGGTGGATCCGTGACATGGAATGTGATGCTGGAGGCATTATTTGAAGAAATGTTTACTTAGAGCCCTCCAAAAATGACTTATGTTTTACATAACAACCATCTCAAATTCAAACATTGTCCCAAATCTGAAATTATTTTTTAATTAACGGATCATTTACAAAACGCTTATCCAATAAGTGTTTGTTGGGTTCCTTTACCTTAAACGATGAACATGGCAAAGATAATCTTACCCGGTAAAAAAAATGACATATGACGAGAGTTTTACACAGCAAGTGAGATTGACGATTTTTACCGATTAACGCTTGTCGGATAAATTGTTGGATATGATGTCATTTCAATGGATTAGAATCTTACTCGTTAAGATAAGTGAGAATATTGACTTTCGTCAATATGCACTTATCGATAAGCATTTGGTTAGAGAGTCCCTAAGTTTTTAAATTTTCCAAATAAAAAAGCCCAATTTTGTATGATTTTTCAGTTCAAAAGTTTTTTAATATAAAGAAAATGGAAGGATAAAATAATTTGTTATATCATTTTTATTATAAATGACATCAAATTAAAGGTTTGATCATCTTATTTAACATTTTAATAGTTAGATGACTTGTACATTTTTGTAGATTTATCGGCCGTTTACCCAATTGCTTACCCGGTAAGTGCTTATCGATAGAAGTCAACACTATAGTTTACTTTGATGCACAAGATTTTAGTACATCAAAATATATCGAATGCAACAATTGGGTAAGTGTTTACCTGGGTAAAAGTCGTCATCTTCACTTACCAGGTAAGACTCTCCCATCATTCTCATCGCTCTTACCTGGTAAGATTCTTGGCCCTTCTCTTGTTCATCCGGTAAGTAAGTGTTTAGTAAACGATCCCGTAATGACCTCCTAGTACATTATTCGTTGTTTCTTTATTACTTAGTCGTGCAGTTTATTGTTTGTCTCAACAAATTTTTGTTTGTCCATTAAAAATAATCAGTTTTAAGTAGTAACATTTAAGTGTATATATCCATTGACTTAATTATAGGGTGTGCCAACTTGTGTTTAGAACCGACTATTATGATGTTCAAAAATCATAATCAGATAAATAATTCCAACAAAATGATTAAAGAAGTTTTTGAAGAAGTTAAACCATTCTGACTCATAAAAAGTTGATAAAGAATTTTTGTAAAAAAAACATCTTCTTGAACTTTGTTATATATCTTGTGAGGTGCATTGAACAGGAACTATCAAGATATCAAATATTTTTGGATAATTGTTGAGGACTTACAAATGTCATGAACAGGTAATCTTCCTCTTCTTCGTGTCCAAATTTTTTGCAAAACATGCATTTGATACTACTCAGACCTCTTCCTCTAAAGGATCCTCTACCTTTTTTATCTGTTATCGTTGGACTTGAAAAGCTTGATCTTCCCGTTTTCAAGTGTTCCTGCTAATCCTCACCTCATGTGTTTGCAGTGACACCATGAGTTCATCAACAGAATAGGAGGCAAGATCTTTAGATTCTTAAGTATGTTCCATGCTTCATGTGTTGTGGTTGTTGATGCTGTCCTTGAGAATTTGCTCTCTCATACACAGCTTATTGGATGAAAAATATTGCTTTTGCATCCTTTTTTTTCTGTTCCCTTTTGACCCTCTTCAACTCCTTTTTCCACAAGTCTTGTGCTCTGAAAAGTGTCCTCATTTTCACACTCCAGAGCTCGTACGAATTTCCCTTAAAGACTGGAATCTGGGGTTGGGATATGTTGATTGCAACATTGGTAGATGCCATTTGAGATACACAGAAACCTAGATAGGAACCTGACTCTGATACCATAATGTTAAAGAAAAACAGATCAAGAGAATCAATTTACTGCAGAAGAATGGAATCATATATTACGATAGAATAATGGCTTTAGATAGGCCTACATGAAGCTGGAGAAGACAAGACTAAATAGATAAAACACTTCCTAATTAGTAATTAGGCATCAAATGGTGAGGCTGCCCATGCGATAAGTTGGAATGGCAAGCAAGGGCTTAACCCTAGCCATTGTCGTTACATATTTTTCGTTCATATCCAACTCAATCGCTGAAACACCATCTGGTAGCACCCAATCAAAGCAATGTACTAAGTTGGAAACAGCCAAGTAAATGCTTAGTAATCCCAAATTCATCGCAGGACACCCTCTTCTACCTGTGCTGAATTGCATCAGCCGGAAATCAGGTCCACGAAAATCGATTTCACTTTCAAGAAACCTCTCGGGAAGAAACTCTTGCCAATTTTCAGACCAAACCTCTGGATCATGTCCAAATGCCCAAACATTTACAAAAACTTGTGTGTGTTTTGGAATGTGGTAACCATCAATCACTACATCCTCCATAGATTTATGGGGCATTAACAATGGAGCAACTGGATACAGCCTGAACGTTTCCTTAACTACCATGTGTAAGTAACTCAACTTTGCCAAATCTGTCTCCTCCACCATTCGTTTATCTCCAACAACATTCGCCAACTCCTTTTGAAGCTTCTTCATAACTCGTGGGTGCTTAACAACAGCAGATAGAACCCATTCAATGGAGGTTTTGGAAGTGCCGACTATTGCGGCTACCATGTCTAGTAAAATAGCTTTCGTACTTGATCTATCGATCGTAACCGATAGATAGTCGTCGCCAATATCGGAATACTTGTTTTTCACAGACAACAATGTTTCTATGAAGCTCATTTGTTGAAGTCCAGTTAGAGTGTGTTCTTCATTCTCAGTTATCAAAGCCTCCAACATTTCGTCAACGTCCTTACTAAATGATCGAAAACGTTGAGTCAATCCCTGCAAAGCAATACGAGTATTATCATGGGTATCTAGCTAAAAAGTTCTTTACGTACATGATTCTTGTTTGAATTTAATCATCATTTTCGTTAGGGATGGCAAAAAAAACCGAAATCGATAGTGAAAACCAAAACTTTCGGCCCGGGTTAGGAGACATTTTATCGGGGACGGGTCGGGGATCGGGGACGAATTAGGGGATTTTAACCGGGACGGGGCGGGTATATATATATATATATGTAATATCATTAAAAGAAAATAGTAACATTAGAATTTAAAAGACTGATATCTACTTAACCTCAACAACTCAAATAAAGTTCACAAAAAAGTCTAGTTTATTTGTCTAAAATCGTGATTTTAGTTGTACGATGTTTGAATTTCTGTTTAGTTTTATATTATAATCTAATACATTGTTTGTAATTGTTTCGATTATGTTTGAAACATTTAAACTTACATAATTAAAAAATTGTAATTTACTTTTAATTGTGAAAATTAGCATATTGTAATTTTTTCCAGATCAGTTTCGGGTTCGGTTAAAACCAATGGTGAAAAAGAGAATTTTTACCCTTAACGGTTTCCCCAACGGGGATCGGGGAAACCCCGGGGACCCGATAAGATCCCTGACAGGATCGGGTCAATTACGAGGATGGTTTTAGCTATCGATTTCGGGAACGGAGATACCAATACTTAGCCCGAACCCTACCCGTTGCCATTCCTAATTTTCATGTTCTTATATTATTGCCAATTTCCTTTTTTTTTCATGGTTTCAAGCATGAGAAGAATTTGCACACAATTAAGTCATTTACACAAAAAAGAAATAGAAAAAGGTTTCCTTATGGCATTTGAATTCACGATGTATAACGAATGAGTGGTACTCCCAAACAAACGTATAGTTTCATATTTAAACACCTTAAAAGAATTAGAGGTTGTTTGTTTATCTCTTAATAGTTTCATTAAGAGGCAGCATCCGAATCGTTAAAAGATGAATTTTGTTTGGCAAAAAACACAAGTCTGTCGCTTAATGGTTCTAAAATCTTTTGAATGATTTCGTATAATGGGTCTCTCTTAAACATTCAGGGCTCTAATTTCATTGTAAGCAATCATCAAACAATTATATTTCATTTTATACTATATTATGAGAATCTCTTAATCATTCTAACCACTTAATCATTCTGCATCAAACCATTCAACAATTACCAAAGAGCCTCTTACACTTAACTCCTAAAATTTTGTGGTTTCATAGGCAATTTCACACCCCGAAAGATGGATCCTTCCCTAAGTGGGAGGATGATGGGAGCTCACCAACGGTTAATAGGTCAGCCCATGACTAAGAGCGTTCATATTTATGTATAATGAGAGGTTTTTCAAGACTGTAAAACTTTTTCAAGGTTATTCATCAGTGAGAAGTCTTGGAAGAGGTTTTTTAATAGATTCTCCGTCGAAAGTCATATGACTGGACAATCAATCTATTTTCTTAGATGTTTTTCATACATGATCACTTGTAACGTTACAGAATTTATTAAGTTTCCAAAAAACTTGAGATATAGACATATATGGAATTTGTATTTATTAATGTATTTAAATTAACTAGAATGGTACTTGCACAATGCATCGAGATACATCTTGATTTTATTGTTTCATTTTTTTTTGTCGCTATCGATGTTATAATACGATTGTATGTGGTTTTGAGAAATTGATAATATTTTTATTATTGAACAAAATATAAATATGAATATATTATAAAATATTTAAAAAAACACCAAACTAACTATTTAATTTTTATTTTTTTTGTGTATTTATGTAATGCATTTTTCTATTTTTGGTTTAATAATATAATTTTTTTTTAAATATAATAATTAATTATTTTGTTAGAACTCGATAATTATCTTAATTATATTTTAGATTTTTTATATTTTAAAATGAAATGTTTATTCTCTATTTGAGTACCACTGTATATCATAATGGGTATCACATTGTGTATCTTTGTGATTACTTGGTACCTGCCGGATTAATGTTCACCGGATGCCGGAGATTGGAGGTCGGAGAGATGAGAAAGGAGAAAGGAGTTTTTTAAAAATACCTAAAATGCCCTCTAATTATAATTTTAACTCAAACTACCATAATTATTAATTTTCTAATTTATCTGTTGATTTATGGTTGAGATTGGATCTCACAATTACCACAAACTAATCAGTTCTCCCTTGAATATGCCCATATATATATATATATATATATATATAAACCTGGCTCTGATACCATTCGATACAGGATCGGTCATTATAATTATAATAGAAATATATATAAAAGTGATATAGTAATGAAAACGCAAGCAAGATTATGAAAAGATACCTTTATTGATTAAACAATCTTGAATACATTTGTCGTTGAGACAATTTGAACATACATCTGGAGCAATGATAAGATTGAAATTTAAAGATTTTGAACATTGGGAAGTAGAAAATTTGAGAGAAGGTTGTTTAGACATAACATTCTATCTAAGGGTTTTTTGTGATTAGGATTTTTTCGGTGCCCTTGAATGAGAACTTCTATTTCCTTTTATAGATAGATTCTTGAATAAATGACCGGCACGTTCCCTTCATTTTGAACAATTATTGGATATTTTTGACTTGAAAACCGGTTGAAGAGCCATCTATTATTGTATTTTGAGAGCCATCTATAATTGTACTGACATATGGAATCTTTTGACTCTAACGTCTTCTCTTTGGGAATAGTAAATGTCATATAGTCTTCTTTTGAATAGGAAATGGCATATGAAAAACTCCTTTTGCTTTAACGTCTTTTTCTTGAATAGTAAACATGCAATTATTTGATAAGATAACAATTTTGAACAAGATGTTGTCTGAAATACCAAAGAGTGTATTTCATATGTTTTGATAAGATATATTTTGATAAGATACAAATAATTGCTTACAAAAGCAATAACCCAAACACACACAACTCTTGAAGATTAAAGATCTTCATAGGGATCTTGAGCATCTTGATATAGATTTTGAGAAATTTATGAGATGGTGTTTGAATTTTGAGAAATTTCTGAGATGGTGTTTGAACTTGAAGGAGAGCTTCCTTGTTTGATTTCTTGAATAAGTCTTTTAAACTCTTCTCTTGAATCAGCAGCCAAAAATTGATTAACTTCGTCATCTTCTTTATTTTGGCTTGATGGT